GGGGGGGGGGGGTGTATAATCAAAGTTGTTAGGATATTTTACTGATCGTATCAAAGTTGTTAGGATATTTTACTGATCGTATCCTTATCTTTTCGGTTATATTTTTCCAGTCTTGTCTATATTTTAATTTAAATTGGAATTATAATTAGATTGGTTAAAAAGTCTCTGTATCCAACTCTACCTATAATTCTCAATCTTTGTAAATCTGAATGATTATGAAATAAATTATCTTTGCTCCTCTAAACTACATTTACATAATAACATTCTCAACAAAAATGTACCGTATTTTCTGTAACAACACGAAATCTTCCATGTACAGATGCACCAGCACCACCTCCCATGACAATTCCATTAAGAATTGAAATCTTCAAATGTTTGCAAAAAAGGTAAGAAAAAAGGCATGTATGTCAGAATCATGAGTGCAAAACAAAGCAGAAAAAACAAAATGTAAATAAGAAAGAGTTACCTGGGGCTTACTATATGTTGCCATCAAGTAATTCAATTTATATTCGGTATGGAAAAATTTTGCACCAAACCTCCAGTCACCTATTTTCATAGAAAATAAAAACTATTAATTTTTCATTAAAATTAAATTCATTTGAAAATTCATGCATTTGATGTTATTGAACTCTCGTACTAGCTTGGCATGTTGATATAAGGAATTTCAAAGCAGAACAATATTTCATATCAAAATAGCTTCGCTCTCAAATTAAGATTGTAGAAATCATCAAATACAATGTACACGAGAGTAGCATAAGGAGAGGCAACTAAATCTATTAAAAGGAAAAACAGAGACACCACCAATTTTACACTTGGGAAAACAACAGGAAAATCATTTATGTGCTTTCACCCAACAGCTTAAGTTTCTGAAATTCCTTATGACAAATGACAGGAAATCGTTTTGTTTGAATTTTGTGAATGGGTTTAATTGATGAACCAAAAATGCATCTAAGGTTCTGAAAAGACTTGGAGCAAAAAAATGAATATTATTGATGATAATTCTGAATACTGTCCTTTTCCAATATAATATATATAGATATTTTGCCTGTTTGGTAGCTACTAATCTTAATTCCTAATAACAGAGAAATCTAAAAAAAGAAATTACATCATCTACATTGTACTATAACAACAGCTCACTAAGTTGCAAAATAAAATTAATAAAAATAAGATAAGATAAAATCAATACAAGAATGTAACATGAAATGATATTATAAAAGCCTAGGAAAAAAGACAGCATTCACAGAAGTTCAATGAATATTATTTTTAAATCATGTGATCCATTAAGTAACAAAAAGAAAACATACTTTTACTTGAATCACGAGCAACAGCTGCAACATCACCACCAGCACAAAATGCCCTTCCATTTCCCTGGTATGAAATTACAATTTTGTTCTATCAGTGACCTGACCTCTCAATAATTATTAAAGTAAGAAATGCATACATTTACACATGTTACTTTTTCATCCAATCCAACAAGAACTAAAATTGAGATAATTGGAAAAATGGAAGGCCTGGAAAAGTATTATCATTAAGGAACAAATACCCACATTCTTACATGGTAGCCACTTTTTATTCTGCCTGGAAAATAATTTAGTCAGAATTCACTTTTCATAACTTTTCCCAACAAAATATTACTCCAGATTTTCACCAACAGATAGGTAGTCATTAAAAATAAAAATGCAACATTTGCACAGAATAACTTGCCAATATTATTGCATGTCTATGCAAAAATATTCTGGAAAAAACACCTGAAAAGACAAAAAACATGTACTACCCAAAGAAGGTTGATGGTTAAAGGCTTCCCTTTAAAAATTCTAGCCTTTAGCATCAACACAACTAGCCTCATGATTCTTCATAAATATCTTCTTCAGATTAATAATTTAAATTCTCATAATAAAAGTAAACTAAATTTGCATAGAAGATCAAATGGAATATTCCAACAGGGAAAAACAAATGAATACATCATCAAGTTATATCTGCAACCAAAGCATAAGCTTTTGCCCTTGCACTGCATTGAATGATTTCCAAAAATTTGCACACAAGTTTAATATAGCTTACTATAATTATCATATTTTAAATTATTAATCTGATGAAAATATTTTTAAAGAATCATGTAGCTGGGGTTCGTAGTTGAGTTAAATGATAGGTTTTTTAAAGGAAAGATATAGACCCTGAATGTTCTTTGGGGCAGTAGATTTTTTTATGCCCTCTTTATAGTGTCTTTCAAGGAACTTTTCTGTAGTACAGTAAAATTGAAGAGATTTTCTGTATAAATGTTTGTTATTTTAAAAATTACTACAGAGGCTACCTTATCCTCCTCCTAAGTGTACTCCTTTAATTATTGAAATTATCTTTTGCCAAAACAAGGGAAAAAAGTGATTTTTATGACTACCAGTTTATTGGTCAAAATCTGGAGTAACAGTCTGCTTCAAATGGAGGATGAACCCTCAACATCAAGTATCAACTCCTACCTCCACATTTCAGTCCCCAAATTTGGCTCCTGGCATCAGAAAAATACCCCCTCCCCCCCCCAAAAAAAAATAAATAAATATGTTAGATATAATTTTATCTTATAGTCTTTTATCTTATTATTTTTTCGGTTCGACCAATGAATCGGTAGGTTAAACCAGTTCAACCACAATTTTCTTTTATTTTTTTTAAGGGACCACAAACCACAAAAATAACAATGGAAATTGAATCTTGTTAATGAAAAAACAAAGAGTCTTATTAAACATAAAAATGAATAGTTATAATGTATTTGTTTGTAATATATACAACTTAAATAATTTTTATAGTATATTATTAATTTTAAACTATATATTTAATAATATAATATCTATGTATCCCTCAAGCAATTCACCATGAATCCACATCTAGATCATTAATTTTTTATCATATAATATAACAATAACATTTATAAATTAATATAATACTCAACTGAATTACCAATTTAATATAATCTTAACTTAAACAGTAAAACCCCCAATTTTTCCAAAAACCTAACTCATAGACACTTTTCTACAATTTCGTTCTCTCTCCCGGATCATCATTTTTACAAATTATTTACATATTCCTAATCTTAAGCACATACAGAATCTCATTACCAATAATTCTCCAAATAGAAAAAATTATAAAATTATTAAAAATTCCACAGGAACTCTTCTCCACCCATTCCCTCATGTAACTCTACACATAAATCTCCCTTTTTCCCGTACCTCGATAAGCAATAGATGAAACTAAGGTAGGATCTGGTTGGTCTCCTCCTCTGAGTTTCCCTCGATCTTCAGAGAATGTAGAAGGAAAAGACGTCAGAACTGAAAGAAGTCAGAACTAAAAAGTGTGCATTTGGGAATGCTAGAGCATGTTATTTATAAGCATCAAGAGTGCCCAGAACGGCCCGTTTCAAATCCAGAACGACCCGTCCTGGCTCATTCGTCATGTATAAAATTTTACATCCAAAACGGCCCGTTCTATTACCAGAACGACCCATTCTGTAGGTTTGCTTAATATGCTTAAGAAATTTGATTCTTTTTGGGTTATAGTGGATAGACTCACCAAGTTTGTTCACCTTATCTTAATTGATATTAGATATTCCTTGGGGAGATTGATAGTGTAACAGCCCGATTTTCATAGATTGTATGAAGGCCCAAAGCCCAATAAGGGTGATTTAGTAGCCCAAAACGGGTCGTTCCCAAACTGGAACGGGTCGTTCCACACTACTAAAATTGCCTACAAATCTTAGTTGAGAACGGGTCGTTCCCAATTGGAACGGGGCGTTCTAAACGACCAAAAAGGCTTGTAACCCTAGTTGGGAACGGGCCGTTCTATTTTAAGAACGGGCCGTTCCAAACATGGACGTTATGGGCTAAATTGTAACCCCAGAATGGGTCGTTCTGGTAATAGAACGGGCCGTTTTGGATGTAAAATTTTATACATGACGAATGAGCCAGGACGGGTCGTTCTGGATTTGAAACGGGCCGTTCTGGGCACTCTTGATGCTTATAAATAACATGCTCTAGCATTCCCAAATGCACACTTTTTAGTTCTGACTTCTTTCAGTTCTGACGTCTTTTCCTTCTACATTCTCTGAAGATCGAGGGAAACTCAGAGGAGGAGACCAACCAGATCCTACCTTAGTTTCATCTATTGCTTATCGAGGTACGGGAAAAAGGGAGATTTATGTGTAGAGTTACATGAGGGAATGGGTGGAGAAGAGTTCCTGTGGAATTTTTAATAATTTTATAATTTTTTCTATTTGGAGAATTATTGGTAATGAGATTCTGTATGTGCTTAAGATTAGGAATATGTAAATAATTTGTAAAAATGATGATCCGGGAGAGAGAACGAAATTGTAGAAAAGTGTCTATGAGTTAGGTTTTTGGAAAAATTGGGGGTTTTACTGTTTAAGTTAAGATTATATTAAATTGGTAATTCAGTTGAGTATTATATTAATTTATAAATGTTATTGTTATATTATATGATAAAAAATTAATGATCTAGATGTGGATTCATGGTGAATTGCTTGAGGGATATGTGAACCATTATTTTGTGTGGACTTATCTATATTGTGTATGTGATGCAAAATTGACTTATGGACTATGGTGTGATGTCTTAGAACAAATGTATACATATTGTATCTACCGTTTTAGTATTGAATTAATAGCATGATGTGGCAAATGGTATGTTATGGCTTAATTTTTCAATTAATTATGATGTGAGTATGTTGGCATGAAATGAGATGTTGTATTGAATATGAATGTGATATGATTATGGTTCCTCACACTAATGACCAGGGACGGCACAACCCTTGGGTAAGTGATGCTACAAGGACATCATGACCTTGGCATAGTGTGGGATGTGTGAGGCAATTAACACGTATCACTTATGTCAGATGTGGCGTAGCCTTGGCATAGTGTTAATTGTAAGATTTGTGTAGATTATGAATGTGAATATGATTATGGTTCCTCACACTAATGACCAGGGATGACACGACTCTTGGGTAAGTGATGCTACAAGGACGGCGTGACCTTGGCATAGTGTGGGATGTTAAAATCTATTAAATTATATGTGTGTGAAGTGAAAAAAAAATTTCTCATCCATTAAACTAGATAATCATGTTTAAAATGATAAATTGTTTAAAATAAGTAATTTTTTATTGATAAAAATATTACAATGATAATAATGAAAATTTCTAAGTCTTGATTTTTTTTTCAAAAACACAATTAATTATTTTAATATTTTCATCTCTCATCCAATTTCCATGAGTATTAACATTTATTTTACTAATAAAAGTGTCTACCTTCCAAATACTTAATCTCATTATTATAATTGCTATTATAGTATTACGGGCACACACCAAAAAAAAAAATCCCTTAAAATTTAGAAAAAAAATTATTGTCCATGACTTAAACTCTCTACCTCCTGGGTTTATTAATTTTGTTAACAGCTTATTATTAATTTATATATGATCAGAATTAAATATTTTATATAAATATTTAATAATAAAAAATCATGCTGTCATTTTATACACATTTAATAGAAAAAAATATCACGTTATTTCATCATATTATAAATAAGATGATGTAACAATAAATAAATTGTATTGGATGTTTATATAAAAATATTTGATATTAAAAAAATCTTGCAGTTGTCTGTTGTCATCATAGAAAATATATGTTTTATTAATAACAAATTTTGATAAAATAAAATCACATAAAACATACTCAAATATATTTTCATGAATTACACAATAATAACTATTATGGTTAGTTTAGTGGTTGGGTGGGGAAGGCTTGTAATAATTAGAAGCACGGGAATTTATGTTCAATCTTCATTGCGACTATATTTGTAATCTTTTATATTTTTATAAAAAAATGAATTACACAATAATTATTAAATATTTTTAGAAAAAAGGACAAAATTAAAAAATGTAAAAGAAAAATAACTAAAATTATTTAAATTTGAAAATGAAGGTAATACATAAAGTTAATTAATATTAACTTGTGACGATAATTTTGGGTCTTAGACCTCTTTACTTAAATAAAAAACAAATTTTTTTTTGACAACGAGGTAGTAACACGGTATGCACTGTTTAAAAATCGGATCGGACCAGTTGAACCGGAAAATTGATGATCTAGGCGGTTTGAGCCTTGAGTTGGATCGGTTATGCATTTGATCCGTTTCAAATCATAGTGAATTAATTAATTTTTCGGTTCGACCAATGAATCGGTAGGTTAAACCAGTTCAACCACAATTTTCTTTTATTTTTTTTAAGGGACCACAAACCACAAAAATAACAATGGAAATTGAATCTTGTTAATGAAAAAACAAAGAGTCTTATTAAACATAAAAATGAATAGTTATAATGTATTTGTTTGTAATATATACAACTTAAATAATTTTTATAGTATATTATTAATTTTAAACTATATATTTAATAATATAATATCTATGTAGATATTACATATATTATTTTGTGACATCAATTGCAAGTATATTATATATGTTCATATTATTTATATTTTTAATTTGTATTAATATACAATTTAACATGTAATTTTTTTATGTATTTCTTTATATAAAATAAAAATAAAGATAATTTTAAATAAGATGGAAATTGAAATTTAAAAGAATATGAATTTATTGAAATTTATAAGTATAAAATATATTTAACATTATTATTTTTTTAAAAGAAATTAATAAAAA